AATAACTAGGTTATTCGAACCTCCACAGTCGGTCATACATTGGAAGTAGGTATGAAGGAAGATTGTCATGAATCTGTCTGTAGATTGTCTAAGTGTTTAGACATAGCACAAGTTTGCTGCAGAGTTCATGAGTGCTTTGATAAGATTAGAGTATTAGATCAAACCCACGCTCACTTGAATCACTTCATGGTTTTTTATCATGAGTAATTGTGAGACGATAACATTGTATATTCTTGAAACCGAGACGTGTAAGTTGTTATTTGTTGGTCGGTTGCGCATTGATGATAAGAAAACGCACCAGTAACTTGGTGTTATAAAACTTATTGTTGTGTGTGATTCGATCAGTAAATGCAAGCGAGCATTTGAGTCAAATTTTATCCATTCCTTTACCCAAAGTGGATAAAAGCGATATATGTGGGCCTCTCGATGATTTAGTGATGACACCTAAGCGCTTGGCCAAGCCGGGACTAAGTTGATGTGTTCAATTGTAGTCTGTTGTCAGTCGTCATAAATCGGAAGTCGGGAAACAGTATAGAGAGAATGATCGAAATTCATGTCTTGTGTCTATACGATATCTTGAGAATGGAGGAATATATAATCCCTTATCTAAAGGACATGTGTATCTGATAAGATCAGAGTTGACAGCGGCTTTTGAAAGCTACGATTGCTGATCAGGTTCTGAAGTTATACAAAAATAGTTATTAGACTTATCCAAGTGGGAGACTGTTGGATTAGTGTCTAAGTCCATAACTATTTTGGTATGTACTTGACCCGATTATGAGCATGGTCCTTTTGGGTTGCCTTCACCATAGCAATATGTAGGATGAATTAGGAGAGAAAGGTTTAATTATGATTTATTAATATATTATGAGAATATATATTAAAGGAGAAATCATATTGGGTTAATTAATATTAGTCAAGAATTAATAAAGAATTAATTATGTGGCTAAAAGAGATTAATTAAACTTGGGGGATTGGAATTGTAATTATAGGATAATTGCAATTGGGCTATGGATCACCTTGGAATAATAGGTTGGACGAATTCTATGGGGAAGCCCATTAGAAATCGTCCAAGGCATGTTCCAGAAGGGGTTCATGGGCTGCTTAGGGCTTAAGCAGTCAAATTATGGTTTCCTTGTTAGATAACCCTAATTGCCTACCTATTTAAAGAACCCTTGAGACCCAAAAAAACATGGCTATGTGTTCCTTTAGGGTTTCCAGCCGTTTTTGGTGCCTCCTCTCTCCTCCCTCTTCATCCAAGTTGCTTAGTGGTGTTTGTGACTCCATTAGAGGTGCAACACTTGAGGCACTAAGCTTTTCTGAAGCCAAGGAATTGATTGTTATTGCTACATAACAATCAAGGTAAGATCTAAACCCTAGTTTATATGTTAATTTGATTAATTGTGTGCTAGATCTAGGGTTTATAAGTCTTGGAAGTTTATTGCATGTTCAAAGTAGAAAAACTAGATCCAAGCAATTAGGGTTGCATGAACACCATAGGATTGATGTTATGCTCAAAACCCATCACTACATTCTATCACAAAAGATTATGCATGCTGCAAAAATCCAAAACGCCAATATGATGGATTATGTTTACAACATGCAACATGAGATAACAGAAGAAATCGAAGGCTACAAAAAGAATATGAAAACCATAAATTATGAATAGGTCGGTTAATAAATATTTTGAAAGAAATGGTAATCTTTTTAAAGTAATGGTATGTTTGTAATATGAATCAAATACATCTTTTGCTATTATGTATGTATTAAAATGTAATGAAATATGAAGATCGTTTTGTACTTGTTATGTGTATTTTTCCTTTCAGTATGAAAAGTGCATCTTTTGTTTTGAAGATCATCAACCAAAAGATGATTACTATTATTTGATATGGGTTTATATTATGAATATAATCTGTCTCATTATCATTCATCCACACATTTAGTAAAAAACGAAAAATAGACGAAATTACCTGTCAATTTATTGAAAAAAATAATAATTGTTAGCTTGTTCAAGGTTACGCCTTATTTTGTATATATTGTCAACTTGGATCATTTTACCCCCATCTGGTTGTTCCTGATGTGGTGTTGGATTGATAAGATGCTTTTGTGAAGGTGGAAAAAGTCTAAGCTGATAAAATCGGGTCTTAAAGGATATGATGCATCCTGGTCGATCTGATGTTGTGATTCTACCCATAGTATTGGTGTTACCGGTGTAAGTCAGTTGTGTTTATTTGAAGAGAACAGATTCCTTAAGGTTTTGTCTCAAGCAAAAGTCAAAAAGTCAAATGGTAATGGCTTTCATGTCATATCACATGGACATTGATGAAAAAATAAGGATGGTTCGATTGTATGCCCCATCTTGCAATACCATTAGGTCTTATAACATATTTCTATAGATTTGCCAAGGTTGATAGTTTTACCTCTGAAAAGGCCAATGGACTCATTGTTTTCTGGTGTTGCTCCCAACCTAAATAGATTTAATATTCGCATTGCTTTCATTCTTACGTAGAGGTTATGGGCTCTTGGTTGCTATTTTTTTGTGAGTTTTGTAAACACTTGGACCATTTTACCCCCAATTGGTTGTTCATGATGTTGTATTGGATTGATAAGATGAATTTGTGAAGGTGGAGAGAGTCTAAGCTGATAACCTTAAAATCAATTGATGCTTTGAATTAAGTTTTCATAAAGTATAATACTATTTTTGACAAATTTAAATAACTTCAAAATTACATGATGATTAAAATTATGAAATGGTTAAGTTTTTAAACTACATGATGATTAAAATTACATTTCCCTAAAGTACAATGTTATTTTTTACAAGCTCAAATAACCTTAAAATTACATGATGCTAATTTACCAAATTCGTATGTCTTATAAAGTACCTGATGCATAGAATTACATTTTCATAGAGAACGATGCTATTTTTTATAACTTCAAAGAACTTGAAATTTACGTAATCCTAATTTACCATCTATTAGTTGAACACTAAAAAGATAAACATTCTTATCATAATAATTATATTCATGACATATTTTTTAACTAAATATTACAAAAGTTTCAATAAAAAAATGGAATAAATAATAATAATTCTCATTACTAATAACATTTAAAAAAAAATATTAAAGTACATAGGAAATACAAGCCAATCAGAAAATAATAAAGAAATATAACATGATAAGTAGTTTCTCTAACATTTAATTTTTACTTTTTTCCATGAGTCATGACATCAAATTACAATAAAACACACATAAAAATGTTTGATTACATCCATGTCTAATAGGAAACCATCCCCAAACATCTTTAGGAAAAATAGCTCAACATCGTTGTTCATACATTCAGTTTTCACAATAACAGCTTTAGGTGAAGGCCTTGCCCTTTTAGTCATCCTCGGCCAAGAAAATATATTTGTGAAAATGACAAAAAATGCCCTTGTTAATTGTTAGTAAGTGTACTTTACAGAAACACCATTTGTCATTGGACAAAAATAGGATATTTTTGTGCCAAATAAAGGTATTTGTAAAAAAGGAAAAAATACCCTTGTTATAATATATACTTAATGGAGAACCTAATTGTCAATCAAAGAAAACTTGGATTTTTTGTCCAAATGTCAAAGCTATAAGTGAAAAAGAAAAAAAATACCCTTGTTATAATGTAAACTTCACTAAGAAACAATTTACAAATGGTCTAAATGTTGATTTCTTTGACTCACTCAAGAAGTTATTTGTGAAAAAAGGAAAAGGGTAAAATTGTCATAAATAACGTGTATTTACTTCAGAACCTATTTTGTCAATGGAACAAAATTTTGAAATTTGTCCCACTCAAAAAGGTATTTGTAAAAAAGACGAAAACGCCCTCATCAAGAAGTGTACTTAGTACTTATCTTTCTCCCATACCAAAAAGAAACACTTTAATAGGAAAGATATTTAAAGTACAATGTTATAATTATATAGAGTTTTCACAATATAATGTCTTATTTAGAACAATATGTAAAATACAAATGCTATAATTAGATAGACTTTTCAAGGTATAATACCCTAAGTAGAAAAAAAATCATTATAACCCAAATTAGCAACTTCTTTTACAAATTAGACAAGTTATGAAAAGTCTAAAATACCCCTTACTAATGAATAAGGCAAATGGTTAGACCTGTGTATAGTGAGTGTTCAGATCTACTGCTTATTTTCCCTCAAAAAACAAATAACATTAGAACATTTTTGGTGATCAAGCTGCAAAATAAGAAGAAAAAGCACCAGGTCAGCAAGCTGATCTAGAGCATTGGAAACATGAGTGTATAATTGATGAAATATAATATGTACTGTTTCTGTATATATCTTGGGAATACATTCATACATTGACTAAGCCAAGGAATGAATTCTATATGGAAATAGGGCAACCAGTTTATAAACAATAACATTACCTATTTAATCATCTAAACCCCATAAATATGAAAAACTTTCTAGATTAAACATAGGTCAAACTTGGAACTTATGCCCTTGCTTCCAAATTCAATGTCATATCATTCTCAGATTACAATCAAGAGTATAAACTCATACATACCTGTCACCCTGCTCAATATTTGCATCAAAAATAAAGATTTCACCGATTGAACCATTGCATTACAGGAGTGGACCTCCAGCAACCTGACAATTACAAAAACTCCAAAAGCTACATAAAAAACAAAACTTAAATATAACTGATGAAATCTCAAATGGGAAAAAGAAGTAAAGTGAATAGAAACAACATTTACATATTTAGAAAGAAAAAATAACCAATTTTTTGTTAACATTAAAATATATGAAACAATTAAGATCATTTAATAGACAAAAAGATGATTGTAAAACAAATTAGAACAAGAACTTGAAATGTATCCATATATGAAAATCTTAATACGTAATATAATTGAACTAGCTGGAAATGACTCCACAGTCCACAAAACATTTATCAAAAACCTAAATTATATTCTAAACCATAAGGTTTGACCCATAGAGTGAAAACAACAACTAAACATAATATTGAAAACGAAGCATCCTAAACTCAACAGAGTTAACACAAACATACTAAAACCAACTTATATAAACATCAAGCCTCCACATCCGACTCATCAAGGAGTTTCATGGGTCGATTTCGATTGTGAATGCAAACCCTGACTTTCTTTTTTGGTTGTATGACATCCTCCTCCTCATCATCATCTGAACAGAGGTCCACAACTTCATCCCACTTCCACTGTGTTAGAGCTAAAACCCTTTTTCTTTTCCTTTCGAATTGTTGATCTTCTTTAGCAATTTCAGAAACCTGAAACAAAACATAAAACATCATAAACTATTAACAATTGATGGAAAAGCGAGCAATTTTTACCTCTTCCGCAATAACCCTTTCCTAAATGGATTTATAACGACTGAAGTGAGGAGAATACTCAATTATCTCAGTAGAGTCATTTTCAGAATCAATGGATTTGACTGATATTGTTTGAAGGTCGGCAATTTCATGAACGGCTTCGGTGTTCTTCATTATGCAACGATAAGAAATTAAAATCATATATAAAAAAACATAGCAAATGGCAAAAAATAAACGATAGTTAGATTCAACAGTATAATAAAACCAACGATTTAATCAATTTTGAATTGAGATAGCTACAACTTAGCAGAAAAAAGTATAATTTTCCAAACATGGGAATCTAAACCCAAACATCTATTCAAGAAGTTTTAGCTTCGGTGAAATCTCAGTAGAGTCACTTTCAGAATCAATGGATTTGGCTGATATTGTTTGAAGGTTGGCAATTTCATGAACGACTTCAGTGTTCTTCATTATGCAACGATAAGAAATTAAAATCATATATCAAAAAACATAGCAAACGGCCAATAATAAATGATAGTTAGATTGAACAATATAATAAAACCAACGATTGAATCAATTTTGAATTGAGATAGCCACAATTAAGCAGAAAAAAAGTATAATATTCCAAACACGGGAATCTAAATCCAAACATCTATTCAAGAAATTTTACCTTCGGTGAAATTTCTTCTAACGGAAAAGCCAATTTCTCGTTCATGATTGATCAACCAATAGATAGATTTCAAGTGATGGAATAACGAATACATTCAAAGAAGCGACCTCTTATATAGGCAGAGCAGTTACTACAGCTACTACAGCTACCTGATGTTTAGGGATTATGGAGAAGTGGGGGTTAAAGATGTAATGAGAGGAGGTTGAAGCCATAACCAAATCAATCTTCGAAGGAGGCTGATTAACCGATTGAATGCTTGTTGGAGGAGACAACCGACGGTGGTTGAGAACGTGGGTCGACGACGAACTGCCATGGAAAATCGTAAATAGGGAGTTTATACGGTGAGGATCGCATATGAAGAAGATCAGATGGCTCAAAATCCTCAGACGGTTATTCGTGACCCGAGCTTAGTAATAATAATAATTGTTGATATTTGTAAATCACATTCTACTTACGAATTACAAAGAAGCTACCCCACACATCTACCTTTTCTAATAAGTGAAACTTAAAAATGACACGTGTCAGTTTTTTTAGAATGTCTCTTTGACACGTGACATTTTTCTATGATTTTTATTATTTCCTTTTTTTTGGTAACAAATCAAATTCAATCCAAATTTTGAAAATACAAAATCTTATCCTAATAACATTATTATTTTATTTTGCTTAACAAATTAATTCATAATTACTTACAATCAACAATATCTTGGTTTTTTTACATTTATTATTATTTTTATTTATATAGAAATTTTAAATATACCGACCGTGGTTTCCACGGGTTATAACCTAGTTAAAGTTATATTGTGGTCCCTTACATAGTCTCTTTTTATAAATGATGAAGGATATAAATTATATAAAAAATAAAGTAATATTTAAGATGTCATTTTCGATCATTTTACTATACAGTTTGCAAACACTAAAAAACAATTTATCAACTTATTAAATTATAATAGCAGATAAACCAATCCAAACAATTTTATTATAATTCTATTTTAACACTAGATAAATTAATAAACACCTTAATAAATAACATAAAGTTTGTGAAATAAGCAATCCCAAACAACGCTAATTATTTAAAAAATAAAATGGAACCAAATTGTAATTTCCACTATAATATAAGGACCATTTATGTAACATACTCTTAAATAGTTAAATTCATCAAATACTTGGGCGGTAGGTTTTGTTTACTGGGCTTGAATAAAAAACCCAATAATTTTTTTTCGCAATCATCACAAATTCTGAAATCCACAATACATTACATGCTTCTCTCATCTCTTCCGTTTCTCTTCGGCCTTACCCCCAATCGACATCATCGCTGGATCCTGAAGATTGTGAAAGCTATTGCCGATTCTAGCGATAGAATCTTTTGGACGAGGCTGATCTATTGAAGGAGGTAGCTGTTTGTAGTCAATTAACTAATCGTAGCTTCTTTTATGATTGCACAGAAGTTTCGTAATCGAATGGCAGGTTTTTGTAATCGAAAAGGTTTTCTTACGGTTTCAAGTATTGACCATAACAGCTAGATGTTTGCAATGTCAGTTCTTTGGATTTTATTGTAGAACCAAATTAGGGTTAGATTGGTTTTCTTGGAGACGTGTAACTTTATCATACGTGATTCAAAAATTTGTAGCTATGTATGAGTTGAAAGTTACTCCAGTCTTTTAATTTATTACAGAGAAATTAAAAGTAAGACTTGCTTCATTTTTGTTGGTAAAGCTCTGTACTTATCTGAGTCGTTGGAGGGTAAGAAATTCATTTGAACCATACCACTGATGTCGGAGATGAATAGCCTTTGCTGCCGTAGTGATAAAAATGTTGCAGTGTAATCTTTAATTTCTGGAGGGAAGCGTTTCCTGTATTTTGTTTGTGGTTGTCAATGTAACTTCTTGATTGTGTTTTAACTGAACTATAACATACTCTCAGAATCACCCACCCCAGATGTAATGCAATTTGTTGGGTGTAAATACTCTTTTAGAAAGAGTTAAACGACTCAAGACACTATTGCTTCATAGTATTATGCACGTCTGTATGAGCTCTTGAATTCTAATAGTTATGATATTCTTCCATCTGTGACACAAGGTGATATATGCAGTCTGCAATGGACATGACCTGCCAGACAAGTGGCAGTAAAGAAAATGCTCTCCACCTTAACGATGGTACCAACAAAAGTCAAGTTGGGTATGCCCAGCCTGCATATGTGAGTGGATGGATGTACATCAATGAACAAGGACAATATTGTGGTCCCTATATACAAGAACAGCTCTATGATGGTCTATCCACTAGCTTCTTGCCAGAGGATCTTCCTGTGTATCCCATCTTGCATAGGAATTTAGCCAATCCTGTTCCCTTGAAGTACTTTCGGCAATTTCCTGATCATGTTGCCACAGGCTTCGTTTATTTAAATGCTTCTGCATCAAGTATTAATCAGAATTCTGATAAGTATCATGGGAACATCAGCACAGATGGTAAGAGAGAAGAGGCTCATAAAGATGCAGTTAATTCCACATCCATCCAGCAGATGCAGATATCTGAAGTAGCTTTATCGCATCCATCACTGGTATTACCAAAAAACGATTCTAATGCTTTGATTCTCCAAACATCTCATATTGATTCTAATGAACTAACTTACTCATCTATTATGTGTTGTTGTGAGACTTCAGACAGGTGAAGAATCATGCTGGCTTTTTGAAGATGATCAGGGAAAGAAACATGGTCCCCATTCTCTTATGGAGCTTTATTCTTGGCATCATTATGGATATCTCCATGGTTCAGTGATGGTAAGACATGCTTAACAAGATTGCAAAGCTTGTTGTAATCTAATTTTGATGTTGATGTTGACATTCTGTAGGTACATCATTCCGAGAGTAAAGTTAAGCCCTCTAATTTGCAATCTATTGTCAACTCATGGGTAACTGCTGGACGTGAAATAGATCATTCTAAATACAACGGCTCTTTAACGGATTTTGTTTCTGATATCTCTGAGGAGGTCTGCTCCCAGTTACATTCTGGAATAATGAAAGCAACAAGAAAGATTGTTTTGGATGAAATAATAAGCAACATAATTGTGGAGTATGTGACTGCAAAGAAATCTGAGAGGCCTCTTAAGCATGAAGAGTCCAGTCAGATAGTCAAAACTATGGATTTTGCTCCCAGTAAAGAAGTATCTGAAAACCAGGAGTTGGAGGGCTGTTGTGGTGGTGAATCTCTTACTGTTTTGGGAGTGAAAAACAGTCATCATAAGGATGAAGAGTCTAGGCAGACAGTCAAAACCATACTGGTAATTTTTGTTATCCACCTTGTTTTAGTGTTGCATGATATGCTTGGCTCTAACTTTTATCTGAACAATATGATACAACCCAGGAAGTGGGGGACTACTCTGAGAGTGAGGGAGCAGCATCTCTTAGTGTTCACACACAAACATCCCCTTCAAATCATGATGAGCCTCTTGGATGCAAGAACTCTAGAATTTTACAAGATTTTTGCAAAAAGCTCTTTGATTCCTGCATGAGAGTCATCTGGGATGCAATTGTGTATGATTCAGTAGAAGATCGAGTATCTGTCTGGAGGAAGGAAAAACTGGGATCCAACTCCAGCTCTAATGAACTTGTTGAACATCAAATTTCACTCGATGAATGTCACGAGTTGACTGAGATTTTACCTGTAGAAGATGTATGTTCTCTCCCTCTCCCTCTCTTTTTTTTTTTTAAAAAAAATGTTTATGTACTGCTTTTCTTTTCTGTTTTGTTTCATTCAAGTCATGTATCAAAATATCTATAAAATTGCAGGAAGAACAAGAGTCTTCATCTTCTAAGAATGAATATCCCCCTGGTTTTGAAGAAGTTGTTTCTAAAGCTGATTGTGTAAAGGAAGATGAAAGTTGTTATGACTTGGAACATATAATGGAAGGTGTAGAAAATGACCTCCATTTATCTGCAAGGATGTCTTTGCATCAGTATATTGAAAAGATTGTGGATAAGGAAGTGAGGAAAAAAAGAAAAGCTCAAATGAAGGAGGTTACGTTGGCATCTGGAATGCCTTCATCCAGTTGGTTTGCAAATGCTTTCAAGAAAGTATATTCACATGAAGATATTATTGTTCAGGAGAATTCTAGAACCATTGTTCCGGAAGCATGCAAATTTCGCCCTTCAAGGGCAATGGAATCTATACCTAAGATGGAGGTTTATGTTATCATGGCAGCATGTAGACAGAAGCTGCATGATATTGTTCTGAGGGAATGGTTATCCATATCTTTGAGTTATGCTATTAATAAACATAATAAATCGGTGTCGGTGGATTATGCTATTAATAAACATAAAAAACCGGTGTCGGTGAATTATGGTATTAATAAACATAAAAAACCGGTGTCGGTGGATGCTACTAATAAGCATAATAATTCGGTGAATTATGGTATTAATAAACATAATAAGCCGGTGCATATGACAAACAATAGAAGGAAGGAGTCTGTTTCTGCATATGACAAATACATAGAGCAGTCAAGGAATGGTCAAACCTCAAGACCTTCTGAACCATCTATTGCCAATGCAAGTTATACTTATTCCCGGTCAAGAAAGTCAACGAAAAGAAAGTTTGCATCTTTATCCGGGCAATTGAGAGCTGAACGATTGGTCGAGGCTGCTACTAAACAATACCATGATCCCAACTTTCATGGTGTTCAATCACCATATAGTAGTAGTATGTCATTTCATAAGTCTTTGAAGGTTTCTACTGTAAGTCAAGGTACTTGGTTTGATTTAATTCTGGTCTGGTCTGGTCATTTGCAGTGTTTAGGATCACTATTGTTATATACACTAAGAACGATTATTCTATTCTATTCTATTTATTTCCCTAGATAATGGCACAAGTGTCCATGGTGTAAAATTCAACACACAGAAACAGAATGTTCCATATTTCACTGCGAATGCTTATAATGCTCAAAAGGCTGGCAGTTTGTCCAAAAATGTTGCAAAATGTAAGTGTTAGTGTATGCTTTGTTTTAATCTGCTACATTGTTGATCTTGTGTGGTGTTTTACAGCACTTAAACTCCGTAAACTAAAGAGGAAGAGCTTGGATGACGTGGCAGAACATAGCTCTGTGAAAGTTCCCAAATTATCCACTGCTTCCAAGAAAGCAGCAGCAGATACTGATCCACTTGCTATACAGAAGATTCAAAATAAAAAGTTGAAAAAATCGAAAACGTATCCCTTATCTTTTGGATGTGCACGTACTTCAATCGACGGCTGGCAATGGCATAAATGGTCATTACATGCAAGTGCTTCCGAAAGGGCGTGTGTTCGAGGAATTTACAAAAATACCCCTTCAGAGGCACATTTATCAAATGTGAAAGGGTTATCTGCCAGAACAAACAGGGTGAAAATGAGAAGCCTTCTTGCTGCTGCAGATGGTGCTGACCTGATAAAAGCTAATCAGCTAAATGTAATT